TCCGAGCCTCAACTTATGAGCTCTCGGCCCGCTTGGCTAAGCGGTATAGCGTGTCACTAGTAATTTCACTTGACATGACAAGGTGATCAGTTCGACTCTGATAGTGGGCAGCTTTCAATTTTTGCCGTTTGGATGAAATTTCTTTTTGCTGTCATATATCTTCTTTTTGTTTTTCTCCCTTGCATAGTCCTAATCCACTTATATCGTATGGTGTACTACATGATAAAGTCAGTCTCCCATCCCCAGGCCGTAGACTGCAGATGAAACCCATCAAACCAAATCTTCATGTATCTGTACCTCCTCAATCCAAGTCTTCTCTCTTCTTATTTCACTGGAATGTCCATGTGAGAGTAGCGTAAAAACCGTAGCAATACAAATTCACGATTCACACGCATCCGATGCGATGCAAGGCGATGAGACGATTCGAGACGAGGCGAGACAAAGGTGTCTGATGACGCAGCCCGGTGGATAGCCCAGATCTTCCATTCCGGTCAAGACAAGTTCTTCCCTTTTCCCAGAGCTGAAATGTCTCTTTTTGAAACGAGCACTCAAGGGAGGCATGCATGTCAGGAGCCTTTCTCTAGGCAGTCCTTCATATACACCTTTTGCATGGTTGGCTTGAATAACATCGTCATTATCCATACCAACCAAAGGGAAAAGAGACAAATGGTAATAATGCCTCTCGTATAGTTCGAAAAAAAAATATCACTCAGAGACGGTTAGGTTAGACTACTATCATCACAAACGAGGACACATTCGCCGTTGCTATGCTAACGGCTTGCATCTTCTTTACTCCAAGAGAAGCGGAGGGGGAAAACCACATCATCTTTTTGGTACCTAGATAAATCTAACAGAAAAACGCCCAACGCATGCCACTGTAATCCACCCTTACACATTATTAGAATTCAAGCAGAAAAAAAAACTTTAGAATATCCCCTATCCCACAAACTGTCCCCCTCCCTTCTTTATTATACGAAGAAAAGTCCCTCTCCTATCCACGCCACTCTGGCCGCTTATCGTGGCATAGCAGTAGCATAAAGATCATAGAATAATGGCCAGTTCTGGTCGGTCTGAAATCTCATCGTCCAGATTAGGATAATATGGGACCATGGCATCGGCTGCAGCCACGTAGGCATCGTTGTACAGCCGCCAGTAGGGCGTCCTCACTTTTCTCGCCGGGTGGAAGAGCCCAGCCCAGACGTAGTTGAGCACCAAGCCCGGGCCTGCAGCCACACGAATGGCTTCGATGGCCTCAATGATGCGGTCAATGACGTGGGGGCTGGTCTCGAAAAGGTTGGGATATAGCAGGTTGAGCAGGTGAATCATGGCGTCTTCGCAGCCGAGGCCAACAACGCCGAGGGCAATGTGCTTGACAACGGACGCGGCCGTCTGTCGATGCACTTGGTCTCGATCCGTCAGGGCATCTTCCAGCAGAGGCGTGACGGCATAGACGTAATCCTTTGCCATTTCGCCAATGTATTCAAACAGGAAAGACAGGGACTTCAGCACGCCGTTCTGGACGTTGAGCTCAGGGACGCGGTATTCGTTCATCAGAGCTGGCAGAACAGTGAACGGGGCACAGGTTTCGGCGACGATACCAATGGCAACGGCCGTGTTGACACGAGACTGTCGCTCCTGTACTCTCAGGTTGTTCAGTAGCGTGGCCAAAACGTCCTGGGGGCCGATGGCTTTGGCGATGAAACCGAACGTGTTGTTTGCCGCTCTTCGAATTCCTTTCTTGTGAGCCTTGAGCATATCAAGAAGCTCAAAGCAAATTCTCATCCACTCTCGAGCATTGACACTCTCGGGGCCTCGGTCGGCGATACGTCCCACCAGGTCAATCGTGTTTTCCTGCACCTTTTCGTGTCGGTTACGGAGAATAGGGGTCAACCGAGGGAGCAAGTCTTTGATGGGCGGCTGCATCTGGGAAATACCCACGACCGTGACAATGGATCGCAGGGCTCCCAGAATCGATCCGAGAACCTCAGGATACTCTTCTCCGAGGTATTCGTACAACACAATGCCCAGCTTGCCCATGAGAGCATCCTCTCCGCATTGCTTCATCACCATGGCGATTCGAGAAATGAGATCCGCGGCCTGCTGGCGAACAGTTGCAGACTTGTTATTCAGTCTCCACAGGATTGTGCTGACAATTTGTGGTAGATACGGCTTGCAACGCGTTCCCAAGGCGTTGACCACCGAACCAAAGCCGTTGAGCATAACAATGTCCTCGACACTCTGTTCTTGGAATGCGTGAAGGATACCGTCAATCAGGCGTTCCTCAAGACGTTCGCCGATATCTGCGGCACCCAGACTGGCCACAACCTTTTCAACTGTCTCTACCGTCATCTTTCGGTACGCTTCGCTTTCATCTTTGAGATTGTTGACAATTCTCTCCAGAATCTCACTCACACCGACCTTCTGGCCAATGTCGACTGTGGTCTCAACAACTTGCTTGTAGTTTCGCTTGTCCAGGGCCATTCGCCGCACCCAAAAGCTCTTGAAAAACTCGTCCAGGACGTGCTCCTTCAGGTAGCCGGCCGTCACTCCCTCTGTGCCTGCGCATTGAGACACCACCTTCAACACCACCTTCTTCATCTCCTCGTCTGGGGAGGAAAACTCTCGCAGCAAAATCTCCATGATTTGACTGGTGTAGTAATTGGCGTACTCTTCGTCCATGAGAGGGATGATGTATCCCACGGCCTTGAGAAATCCTGCCAGTCCCTTTCCTCGTTGTTTGCGGGCTCCAGTCCACAGTGGGTTGAGGATATCGTCGAAACTCTCGATACCGTACGGGTTGGAAGCTTCAGCAAGGGCGGCAATGGCCAGACTCGTAACGGTTCTAACTTTGGTCTGATCGTCGCTCAAATTGGGCGCGATGCAGTCGACCAAACCCTTAAGGTGAGGCAGCACTGCGCATCCCATGAGGATAGGAATCTGCTGGACAATTTTGACTCCAGTGTGCCTAGCTTGCCAGGACTTTTTGCTTCGACACACAGCTCTGAGGAAAGGCAGCAGCGCGGGAATGCCAAGAGCAGAGGCGACAACCGCAAACGCTCGGGCGGTCGTGTTGCGGACATACTCATCAACATGGTCAATATCCGGCCGCATTGTGCTAATCATGGTTGCAAGACCTGCTGCCTTGCTGAGGTTGGAGATAATCTCACGACCTTCGACTCTGGCATAATAGTCTTGGTCAATCAGAAGTGGTTCAATGACAACAAGAATCTTGTGCACATATGGGCGGACCAAGTCGTCCAGCTTATACAGAATGCGGTCGATGACCTTGACGAGCAGATGGCGCTCCTGGTCCTCCAGCGACTTTTCCATCAGCAGGGGGAGAATCTGGTCAAAGAGGGCACCGGCGCCGAACTGCCTAGCATTATCCGTAATCTGTCGAAGAGCCGTCTTTCGCATGGGCGGAGTTCCGTTCTTGATTTTGAGAAGCAGCCTCATAATCTTTCGCTCTTTAAGCTCGTCCACGCTAAGGGCGTTTTCATCAGAGCCGTCTGTGAGCTTGCCAAAGTACGCCATGTCCTCGGGCTTGAAAAACTGCAAGTCTCCGACCCCCGGAATCTCAGCTGGCATCGGCTTTCCACCAAGTCTGACTTGGTCAGGGTCCTGCATCATGAAGCCAGTCTGAGGTGCGGGAGTCGCCATCAACTTGTGAGTTGGGGCCCGGACAGGTTCATATCCAGGAGGAGGATCAAGGATTTTGTAGCCCTCGGCTTCACCAGGCAAGAGCAGATCAAGCTCTTCATCACTCAGAGGCATGTTCCGTCCAGAGATGTCGGTTCCAAAGGTTGTGGGCATCGAGGCCGCTTGGGACTGGTGCATGGGAGTTGCAAGCCCTTGGTTGCCCATAGGAGTTGCAGATGGCGCCTGGTCCCATCGCGAGCGTTTCTTGGGGGCTTCCATGGCACCTGGTTCCGGAACGGATGGTGTCTGATCCCACCGGGAGCGCTTGGGCTTGGCTGCATCTCCATTCTCCTCCTTTATTTCCTCTTCTCCAGCAGGCGTCGATGAGACATCCCATCGCTTCTTACGCTTGCGTACCGATGTGACAGCCTCCGTGGAGCCCGCTTCTGCGTTTTCCTTGTCAAGATCGGCGAGTGTCGGCTTGGCTTCCTCGCCATTGTCGTCATTCGTCAACTTGGCTTTGATGGCTTGCTTTACACGCTCCTCCTCGCGCTCAAGCTCGCGCAGCTCCATGATTTCTCGATAGCTGGTTCCATTCTCTGCAGCGCCGGCTTGTCGGTTCTCAGCAAAGGGATCGGCTCGAGTCGGAGTGAGCACGCGATTGAACCGGCGCTTCTGATAATCGGTCTCGCGGTCGGTGATGCGCCCACTCTTCTCGCCCTTGCCTGCTAGAATATCGTCTTCCTCGACGCCATCGCCGCGGGCAAACTCGTCAATCATCTCACGAGAGGCCGTGTATTGGCCAACGAGCCTACGCGTGTTGTCTCCATCTTCCATCTCGTCGTCATCATCCCCCATTGGCAGAGACGTATGGTATCCCGCAAACTTGTCAGCTTCCTGTCGGTCGTACAGGTCGTTGTCTGCGCTGTCGGTGAGCCGCTGCTTCGTCGAGTCATTGCGTTGATTCGAGGCTGCCAACGCGCGAGAGCCTTTGGCGGCGGCTGCCGCAGCGTTGCGCTCCTGCTGGAGCCTCTTGATCGTCTCGAAATCCGCATCAGACATCTTGGCTCATCGAACTTCCTGCTTCATCCCGGTTCTAACGTGTTTGCCGTGGTCCCAACGAGATCGTTGCGCATGGAGGTGTGCTGCTGAGAAGCTTGTTGGTTTTAGATAGGGATTGCAGACCAAGCTTTGCATAGAGGCGGCAAAAAGTCTACCGCCAACACAATTCCGACATTTAGCCGACGCGCCACTACGTGTAGCCAATGCGACGACAATTGCGTATAGCATTAGCCCTAGAACAAGGAAATATTAGAAATACAAACAGAAGAATGATGAAAAGAAGAATTAATATTGATATTCTATGGCCGAGCTCTTGTTCGCCGCCTTTTGATTGTCGTTTCCACTTCCAAAATGGCGCCCTCTTTTGTATCTTCTTCCTTCACAAGTATAGTTTCTACTGCAACAGTTGCTTTCCTCTTCCTTGTAGACCCCTTCTTTGGGACTGAACCATCTTCTTTCTGTGACGGCTCCTCGAGCTTTTCTTCCTTGACACGGCTTGAAAATTCTCGCAAGTCGGCTGTGAACAAGACCGAATGAGCCCAGCCCGCATATTTCCCCCATATGCTTCTGAAATGGTCGCCAATGGCATCGTACATGACCTTGTTGATGGTTTTGGGGCCCTTTTTGCCGAAGCGATAATCTCTCTGGGCAATCTGAAGAACATGTGTATCTACTGGGACTGATTCTCCCCATCCCAGGCCCATTAAGCACACACAGTCGGCCACCTTTGGACCGACGCCGGTGAGGGAGAGTAGTGCGGCCTGGGCATCTTTGTAGGTAGATTGCGGTCCATCTACTACTGCCACGGCATTAAATGCAGGGAAGTCTGGGTTGCGTAATGAGTCTAGCCATGCTGAAGGCTTTTCCTTTGCAATGATGCGAGCCGTCTCTGCGATGTACTTGGCGCGGTATCCAAAGCCAAGTTCTCTTAAATGAGCCTCGACTGCTTTCTTAGTCAGAGACTCGGGGGTTGGGAAATCGTGCATGGCCTCTCCCTCTATGTGGCCAATCAGTGGGCCGTAATGCTTGCAAAGTTTATGAACCTAGAATTGGGATTTTGTTAATCGAAATCGTCTTTCAGAGTCCGTTCTCATGAGAGCTAACCATTTGAGAGATTCGAGATATGTTATTGTTGCTGCTGCATATAAAGCATATCAATGCCTCCCATGCATCTTGGTTCAGGATTCGAACTCCCGTAAACTGCGGTGCCTTTTCCCGAAAATTTGGATCATCCTTCGACCATTGTTGATACAGGGAAGCCAGATCTATATTTAAACTGAAGTAGTGGCGAAGGAGGTCTTCTGTATCGTCCTTCTCTGATGGCAGATCTTTGCTGGACGAGATTGGCGATTGTTCTGGCCAAGTCACTTTATAGTGTAGATGGGTTGCGTCTTGCTTCAATGACAATATCCTCCCATGTAGGGTACATGTCCTGTTTCTGTTAGTCCGGCATGAATGAGAGCAGCATCAAGATTCAAGACCAACCATTCATCGTTGAGTTTCCGCCACCTAAAGGACTGGCCACACCGCAAGGTCGTGTCAATGCAGAGTTCTGTTAGGCTCACTGGCAGTTTGCGCCAATCGACAATGCGCTTCATGGCCATGATGGATCTATTGGGCTCTAAAAAATAACAATCTTGGAACTTTGGAGACTACAGGTTAATACCATCAAATTCATCAATGGCACAAGTAGTAAGTCCGATAGGGGGCCACCACTATGGGTCTTTCAGGTCCTGAGGCGCGTCACTAAAGCACTAGCCGCAGATAATCCGGCAGGCTTTCCAGCGTACATTGGCCCACTAACGCTGAAGCGGATTAGCGCTCCTCTTGCAAAAAAGCTCCAGCCTCGCCTTCCATGCAAAGCATTGCCAAAGGAGCTTTTGGCCAAGAATCTTCGCGGCGACTCCATCGACTGTCCTGCCCACTACAGAATCCGGCATCACCAATTTGAAGGAGTTGCCCGATCGCTAGCATTAGCGACAAGATACCACAACAATGAACGGCGATAGCTATTCATCTCGAGGTATGACACGCGTTGCGGTCGCTGCTCAATTGGCGCCTGTGCTAACCAAAGATTCGCGTCAACCAGATGGGGGGCGAAGAAACCGAGATTATCCTGTTCGTATGCCAATTGCTGTTTTCACCTGCCCCATCTAATTGCCTTGCCATAGGGTTCCAGGGGCGAAAGAGATGACCGTCGCGACCGACACAGAGACCGTGACCGCCGGCGCTCTCGATCACCAGACCACCGTGGCCATCGCCGGCCTGAGGGAGACGTAGATGCATATTCTTCAAGTCGCAGCCACCGTGATAGGGAACGTGAGGACAGATACTCATCGGGGCGCGACCGTCGGGGCGACCGTGAGTGGGACCGTGACCGAGGCTCTTACCGCCGAGATGCTCGACGTGACGATGACGAGAGGCCCAACCGACGAGAGCGAGAGCCATACGATGATCGCCGAAGAGGGGGAGGACGGGAGCGAGAGAGGCGTGATGATGGATTTGCAAGGCAGGAGCAGCCACGCCGCAGCCCGTCACCTCCGAAGAAACGAGAGCCGACCCCCGATTTGACGGACATTGTCCCCGTGCTCGAGCGTAAGCGACGTTTGACGCAGTGGGATATAAAGCCTCCTGGTTACGACCTTGTGACGGCTGAACAAGCCAAGCTTTCCGGCATGTTTCCTCTTCCAGGTGCCCCTCGTCAGCAACCTATGGATCCAACGAAGCTGCAAGCTTTCATGACCCAGCCTGGTGGTCAAGTCACCAGCGCAGGACTCAAGGCGAGCAACTCTCGTCAGGCAAAACGCCTGCTAGTGTCCAACGTCCCAAGCAGCGTTACTGACGACGCCCTGATTTCGTTCTTCAACCTGCAACTAAATGGACTGAATGTCATTGACAGCTCTGATCCTTGCGTTCTCTCCCAGTTTTCTCAAGACAAAGCATTCGCTGTCTTGGAATTCAGAAATGCGTCTGACGCAACTGTTGCGCTCGCATTGGATGGCATTACCATGGAGGCCGATGATGCGCAGAATGGTACCGCCAATGGTGGCAACCACGGGTTGGTTATTCGCCGACCCAAGGACTATGTCATGCCTGCGCTACCAGATGAGATGCCTTACGACCCAGAAGTCATATCCAACGTGGTACCTGATACTGTGCACAAGCTGTGTATCACCAACATTCCGTCTTTCCTGAACGAGGACCAAGTTATTGAGCTGCTCGCCGCATTTGGCAAGCCCAAAGCGTTTGTTCTGGTGAAAGACCGCAGTACCGAAGAATCTAGGGTGAGTCAAGCTTGATTTGCGGGTGGGGATTGTCAGAGTAAACCGGCGCTAACTATGTTGTCAAGGGAATCGCGTTTACCGAATACCTCGAGCCTTCTACAGCAAACGAGCCTGCCTTGAACAGCCTGAACGGAATGGATGTTGGTGGCAAGAAGCTCAAGGTGACAAAGGCTAGCATTGGACCTACACAAGTCGCCAACTTCGACGTGGGCATCACTGCTATCAGTGGTCTCGCTTCTCAAACCTCCAATGATATTGAGAGAAGCTCTGTCATCCAGCTTCTCAATATGGTTACCCCTGAAGAGCTTATGGACAACGACGATTACGAAGGTACGTGAGCGTGTAGTGCTTATGATGTCATGATTCTAACCTCAGATGCAGAAATCTGCGAAGACGTTCAGGACGAGTGTTCCAAGTTTGGCAAGGTCGTAGAGCTCAAAGTCCCCAGACCGTCTGGCGGCAGTAGACAATCAACCGGTGTCGGCAAGATATACGTCAAGTTCGATTCCGAGGAGTCTGCCACCAAAGCTCTTACAGCTCTTGCTGGGAGAAAATTCGCCGACCGAACTGTAGTGTCAACGTACTTCCCAGAGGTTTGTATTTCCCGCTCCCTGTTGCTCAACCTGACAAAGTAAGAGGAAAGAAAGACAGCTAACCTGCTGGCAGGAAAACTTCGAAGTAGGCGCTTGGTAAACTTCTTGTAATTAGTACTTGGGCGAGATGGTTTAATAGGTAGCTCATGACAAGTCACATTTGCAGCCATGGGAAATTATGATAGCTTTGGTTATGGGCGGAGCGGTGCAATACAATGACAAACGTACTTTGTTCCAACCTAGGATCACGGTACGAAAAAAGAAAAAAAGGGACGGCGTTTGTGTGCTTTACTTGGCTGTGGCTGCGAAGAATAACGGATCAAGGCTCAATAGTAAGCGAATATGGAATGTCAAATCTCATTAATATTACTATGGTGCTATCGCTATAGAAAGTTGGGTCTATACAAGATCTGTTCGCTTCATGTTAGCAATACGTCTCATTAATGAGTGTTTTGCATTAAAATATGAAAAGAAGCGCCAAAAGATCAGAAGTCCAGTTAATTCATTGGCCTCCCGAAGGAAGCCTAACATAAGAGGTGCCAAAATATAACAATTGTGTCGTGTCATCATGTGGGTAAATGCCATGAAGGCATCGAGGAAGTTTAGAAGATTAAGCAAAAAGAGATGTCTTACCAGTTCAGAGAGGCCAAATAACAGCACTACGTGCTAGCCATATCAATTTTCCTCTTCAGATCATCGCTGCTGCTAGCAACATCTGAATAAGGTGAGAAGAGGGACCAAAAGGGAAGACGCGGCGCGTCCAAAGTCTTTCCTTGAGGGAAAATTTTGGAGAAAAGAAGATATAGCGGGTCAAAGATATTGGAGCCAAAGAGAGACTGGTATGGTCACGTGCCTGGGCGGAATTCTAGGTAGCAGGGTCACCAGCCACGCAACGGCGCTTTCCGCCTTTTGCCCTAACTAAGCGAAAATTTCATACCTCCCCCCACACGACCTAATTGTACTTGCTCCGACAACTTCGCGACAAGCTTCTCGACAACTTTTTGCATCGTCAGCAGAACCTCCAAACCAGACAAGATGGGTAGACTTCACAGCAAGGGCAAGGGCATTTCGTCCTCCGCCGTCCCCTACTCTCGCGCCGCTCCCTCGTGGCTCAAGACCACCCCCGAGCAGGTCGTCGACCAGATCTGCAAGCTGGCCAAGAAGGGTGCCACTCCTTCTCAGATCGGTGTTGTCCTGCGTGACTCCCACGGAATCTCCCAGGTCAAGGTTGTCACTGGTATGTTGGAAAATAATGGGCTTTGAGACGATTACAATGGGGCGCTTTTGACTGACGTGTGGAATTTTCAGGTAACCGAATTCTGCGAATCCTCAAGTCCAACGGTACGGAACCCTGAAGCGAATGAAGAATGTCATGTTCCACCGGCGCATGCATGGATATACATACATTTTTCATGAGATACCTCTCTCATGTGCCTCTGTGCGGTCTTGACTGACAGAGTGATCTATATAGGCCTCGCCCCCGATATCCCTGAGGACCTGTACATGCTGATCAAGAAGGTGAGATTTCTACAACTCCTTCAAACAATCCAATCCGTCAACAGAATGAAACTAACATTGAGTCAACACTAGGCTGTCGCTGTCCGCAAGCACCTTGAGCGCAACCGCAAGGACAAGGACTCCAAGTTCCGCCTCATTCTGATCGAGTCCCGAATCCACCGTCTGGCTCGTTACTACAAGACCGTCGGTGTCCTGCCCCCCACCTGGAAGTACGAGTCCGCTACTGCCAGCACCATTGTCGCTTAAACGGGGAAAAAAAGACCACGGGTTATTTTGGTCATGGTCGTGGAGGTTATCAGGTCTTGGAGTTTGGGACATTTATGAAAAAGCTGCATTTAGAGCTATGATTCTTCTGCGTTGGTCTTGAAAGACCGAGCCGGCAGTCAAATGCTCAAATCGAAAGCAATTGGACTGCTCATTGATATAGATGTGCTCTGGGTATCCTGAAATCCCTGATCCTTGTAATCTGAAATCCTCAACGCCTTCAACGTGCCTTTGTCCCATGATCTAATGATGCTTTGAATCAAATTACCCTGTACCTTCCAGCTCCCTTGATTTTTGTATCAAATACTCGCCTAAAACTCGTAAAGGGTCCTCTGGCCTGTGGCAGGTATTTGTTAGTGACAACTTCCAGCTGATGACACCCACCAGGGTATCAACCTACTTTTCTTTGGCCAGCAGTTTCATTCCCTCCAACAGGGCACCAGTGACCTTTGTATTCAAGTACCGTCTTGTCGAATCACCGTGGAGAGCAGGCTCCGAGGGCATCGTAAAACCCGAGTCTGGGTGCGCTGAAGCTGCTCTAGAGCCGTGCGCCGGAGTTCCTGTTCGACCAGGAGCAGGGCTTGGTGCAAAGGCAGCGGGTGCCGGTGACTGGTGGCGGTCAGTCGACAACCAAAAAGAACAACAAGAGTGGCAGGAAAGCCATTGCTTGGAGCGGAATCATAGAAACGGCCTTACAGCTTGATCTGTTGGCACATCAGCCATCACGACGTCGTTCCCTTGGCTCTGCTGCGATGGCGGGTTTGATGCTTCATTGTTGGAGATGGACACCTGAGGAACATCCACCGCGGGCTTGGGATCGTCATCCGCCATAATTACAGAGTGCTGGCGCCAATTGGTCGATTGCGAGCTTGGAAATGGACAAAGGAAGCTGCCATGTCAGTCCCAGAAAGCAACATGAACTGTGGTGGGGACGGCACTTTAGAGGGTCAGCTGACTTCGCGTTTAGCTGTTCACGGGCCTCCGCGTCAACTGTCGCTCTTCTTGTGCAAGACATCATCCATTCTCTCAGCGTTAATTTTGCTGTCAAGAGGCCGGAATCCTGCTTCTGAAATGGGCTGCTATGGATGCTTTCGTGAAGCGGCTATCAGAAGCAGATGCTGAAGCTCGAGGTGCTGGACGCTCAGTTGGTGATGCATCGCCAGTCGTGGCGAGGCCTTCTAAGAGGCTGAAGAGAGACAATGACACTGATTCGGAGTCGGAAGAGCCAAGTGAGCTTCCTGTGGAATATGGGCCACGGGAAATAGTCGCTGCAGAGACTTTATCGGATGAAACAGACCAGCGCCGCGGCAAGGAGCGAGTCACCGAGTTTGAGAATGTTCTGCCGCCCACTGAGACCAATCAAGAAGCCATTGCAGAGTACGAGACTCTGCGGTCTTCCCAAAACAATACCGGAGAAGGGAGTTCAAGTTCCAATGGGAAGACTGCTCCGTTATGGATCAAGGGAAGAAGCTCGATATACGTCGATGCATTCAACCTCGCGCTAGATACAGTCTTGGAAGAAGAATCGTCCCTGTTCAGTAGCAAAGAGTGTGAGATATTCAACCAATGGAGAAGTTTGAACTATGAGGCACAGTATTTGTGAGTCACTTTAGCGGCTAAACCTTCTTCTACTCATTGAAGAGGATAGATACGTTCGGCTGTTTCTCCGGAAAACTGCGGCATGGCATCGGTCCTCTCGCTTGGGGTATTTCAACGACATCTCAGACCACGACAGCGCCATTGCTACGCTTCAAGAGCGCCGATTCCTGCCTGTGGAAGACGAAGAAGAGCCGTCTGTAGAGAACCAGCCGCCATGTGGTGAACTGGAGGCCCTTGGGGATGACAATTCGTTTTCGTTTGCTGATGCGTCTGAGGAGTATCTTGATACAATTGAGGAAGCTGCATCGCTACTGTACCTTGATGAGCTCAAGTCTTTGGCTAAAGAAGCCAAGATCCAAGGGAAGACCAAGATGGACATGATCAAGGCCTTGTGCCGGATGAGCCAGCAGCAAGCCGGGCTACTGTCCTTGGGCATTAGTAGACAAAACAGCAGAGACTCGAGCGCCTCTGGAGGAACAGACCATCCTACGCCAACAGGGCACAAAATAAAAAGGGAGAATTCCAATCGGGAACGGCACTTTTTGGCCAAAATCCTCGCCATTGTCGGTCCGTGTATTCGAATATCGCCCGCTACTTTCAAGCTGTTCGAGAGGGTTCACCTAGTCTTTTACAGATCTACAGAGTGGACGGAGAAATCACTGACGACAATCATTCTGGCCAAAATTGCTAGGCGGAATTTCCCCGAGTACCTCGTGTGTCGCTCTTCAACAATATTTGCGTCTCGATCTCACTTACTAGAATATGAGGCGGCAATACATATGGAAGCGGAAGTTGACAGTGTGCTTGAATCTAATGGACCATTGGATGAAAAGGGCTCTCAGAAAATACTCGACATATTTGAATGGGCATACCCTCGCTGGAAGGTCTTGGTTGAAGAAGAAACTGAGAAAGAGCGTCGTATCTACGAAATGGGGGAGGGTGCCTATCTCAGGAGATTCAACCCTGCCCACTCATATACACGGATTATCGTGAAAGCTGCGTTTGTATTTGGCAGACTGAAACGATACGTCAAGGAGCATGAATTGTTGACTGAGCTTTTAGATCAACGGCTCTTTCACCTATCGCGAAGGGGCTCCTGGTATCAACGCAAAGCTCTCCTAGAAGAACATTATATGCCCAGCCTTGATCCGGACCCCATCACTCACGAGTTGGAACAGCAGAAGAAACGATGGAGGGCCATAGCGGTCTCAACTTGCGAGACAGGCCTTCAAGATCCTGATTGCCATCTCATACACCATTATGACTTGCAAAAGCGATTGGTCAAATTAGAGAAGAAGCTTCGCATCCCCAAACGTCTTCAACACGATTTCGGACATGTACGGCTTGCTGACCCCTTGGAGCTATCTGTTGAAGGAGTCCAACTGAAGCGAAATCCGCCACCGAAGCCGGGAGGCCAGGCTCCAAGCACAAGAACCATGTGGTTGGACGCATCAGACTCTGGCGGTGTGTGCAGTGTGGAAGAGATGTGCTTGAATCACTTCCGGTCACAGGGGTGGAAGGGTTACCATGCCGAGGGGGGCATTATCCGTACCCTGTTTGCTTATTTGTTCTACGACATCTTGTTTGTCTACATTCCCAATGTATTCCAGACGGCCTTTCAAACTTGTCCGCTGGACTTGCACACGGACGCCTTCTTCCCTGCCCGGGCCTCGGAGATCAACCATCGACTGGTCGAAATTGCCAACGGAGAGGGTGAACGGCTGCTTCGTGGAGTCTGGGAAAGGGAGCATGAGCGACGAACCAGTGTGATAGGTCTCAATTGGGATTTCGAGGTGGAGGATTTGACAGAACTAGTACGCTGCTTTCAAGGAAGCGCTTTAGCCGCTCTATGCAAGGTGATGGCTCAGGAATATAGACAGAGAGGTGGAGGCATCCCGGACCTTGTTCTCTGGCGGACGGCGCAAAGCGATGGAGCAGACGCCCCAGACAAGGAGCCGGGAAAGGCAAGAGGAGAGGCCATGTTTGTAGAAGTCAAGAGCGCAAACGACAGGCTGAGCGACACGCAGCGGCTATGGATCCACGTCCTCACTGGTGCCGGGGTCAAAGTCGCTCTTTGCAATGCCGTCGCAAAGGAAATCAGAGAAATTGACTAGCTGTTTGCCCACTCAGTCGCTTACAGGCATGTATGCCTTGAGATGGAGAAGAGGGGAGGGGGGATATTCCAGTCATGATGGAGGGTGCTCGACTCAAAGGTGGAGTTGGAGGTGTGAAGAATTGACCGCCCCTCCCTCTTAGGAGCCTGGCCAGCCTGGCCAGCCTGGCCATCGATGCCCCAGCGGGATGATCTTGATTTGCCATGTGCAGGTGTTAGTCGCAGGATGAAGACTGCGTGGGATAGGTTCCCCGATGGCTATGGAGAGGCTCCACTGAGCTCCGTGTGATATTGAAACGAAGTGTTTCCATCACCGCTTCGTGTGTGCGAGTGTGCGAGTGTGCGTGCGTTTCCAATTATAGCAACAAATGGAACTCGTCTCAGAATGTTCTATTTGGGCAAAACGGAAGGCATCTTCATCCTCCTCTTCCAATGTCGGCTTAACCCGGTTTCAGCAGATGTGATACGGGCTAGGACCCCCGCCGCTCTCGTTTCAGGACCACACATCAGTATGATTTTCTCGAAAATCTTGCTAGTCTGACGAAAAACTGGGACCAATGAGAGCACATGGCGACATCAAGATAGCGTGACTCGCATGGCCGACTGTCACAATACTACTCTACAGCACACGCCTGGGCAGCACGACGAGCTTCAGGTCAAGTGCTTAGGGAGGTGATTGAGAGCAGACTAACAGCAACAAAGCAGGGGGTAGAAGAAGCTTAGAGTTCCCAGCCCAGCGGTGAGCCGATGCTAGTCCCGCGGATAAGAGGCCTCGCGTGTAGGAGAATTACCTCTGCGTGGTGGCTCGGCAGTTGATGGACAAAGAAGATGGAATCTAAGCACTAACGTCTCTTATAGCGGTTCCAATTTGAGCTCACGAGGCAGCCTTCGCTTATTGAGTTTCTCAAATATTGGGAACCCGGGATCTGGGCCTCTCTCAAAGGGGACAGTCAGTTTCCTGGTCGCCCTCCCCCTTTACTACTCATTACAAGTGCCAGCTTTGCCGGCCGCGCAGATTAGCGCGGCTCGATGCAGCTGTAGCAATTTCTCGCCACATACGATGTCACGGCATGAAGGGTCCTACTCGTACCGTACATGACGACCGACTCATTGCTTCGTACATGCTGCCGACATACGCCCTCGTACATACAGCAGGCCTCATCTCATAGGCACAGCAGCATAGGCAATGGACCCCCGAAAGCCACAGTAGCGACGGCTTAGTCTGCGTCTTGAACAATGTGTTTGCCCACATATCAGGGCGCTTAGATCCCGGCCAATCATGTGCACTGGACCCGACGGGTGGGTGACAGACATGCCCACGCTAGCCAATGACACGGCTCGCGGGAGCTCGACGGCGCTTAGAGGTCCGCTAGCATGAACTGGGGTGGCACTGGGTCGTTTGTCTTGGGACAACGCCGCTTTTAGCTGCTCCCAAATTATGCCTTTTTTTAGGACCATGATGTCCTACGAGACCGGGGTAGGAGACGGAAGAGGGTGTGCGGCCAGTGACGTCGGCGAACGTCACGAACGCACGACGGATGTGCCCGGACGATGAGGGATGGGTGTGGTTGATCGAAGAAGGATGGAAGGAAAGCAGCACAGAGCAAACAAGATGGTGTCGTAAGGACGGGGAGAGTCGAGGAACCTGAGCGACTCCTACTAAGGCCGTGCTGCTATGACGAGCATGTCCTGAAGGAGGGGGCGTGTGCAAGATGACCTAATCCCAGGCACGACAGGAGAGGGCTTGACGACAGATTTGAGATCGAAATGGCCAAGACGATGATGATGATGGACAAGACAACTCGGCGGTTTGATTTGCTCCAAACTCGCCGCCATTCAGCAGGGAGTAATACGCTGTGTCTATCCTGCGTTCTTGAGTGGACAGTCTACCATACATATACATGCAGCAACCCATATTCATGATACACGACGGCACATAGCCGCCCAGTGAGATATACGAGAGTTCTGGCCAGGCGGCAATTAGGCTCATCACGATGGCCTTCGCTCACTTACGGCGCTACGATCCAGCAGATTAGATCAGAGCAGAGCAAAAACAAAACGAAGAGATGGGAATAAAGTAGCAGCAGTTGGCCTCTTGCATCGCGACCTAGCGGGAAGCATCTTCCCGTCCGGCCCATTATCCGGCCCAGACACCCACCTCACTCGGCACGCACACGCACACGCACACGCACACGCACACGCACACGCACAACCGCTCATCTAGCATAAAAAATGCCACGCGCCAAAAAAGAGAGAGAAAAGGGAAAGTGTACTCCGTAGCTGCTACACAATCGTCACGATGGTCCCCTCTCTCTTTCGTAAGGGAGGGTGGATTGTCTTTCATGCAGTGAAATAGTGAAATCTCTAGAATGGGAAGGCTTCGTATGGATCTTGTGTCCCTGTTTTAATGAAGGACAAGACACAGCTCACAGGAGGGGGGAATGGAGAAGAGAGAGAAAGAAATTCAAGCAGATGGCAAAAGTCTCTCGCTCACTCTCTCTCTCTCAATAGTCATATACAAGCCCAAATATGCAAAATCAACTTGCAGATACATTACCAAGTCTGCATATTCACGCTCCGGTCATCATCCATACATACACAATGGAATACACCACAACCTCCTCTTTCGCAAGCCACTCGCAAGCTCATCCGCATTCATTCACACTAAGACTACATACATTCCATGTCAACAAAAAAAAAAAAAAAAAAAAGTCCATGCACATGCGCCAAGGGCTCTTTTATAAACCCTCCCCCGGCCGGCCGCCAGTCAAGACCATCCCGAGGCCCGTACGGTACTAAGCAAAAGACTCCAGGCGCCCACTCCCATGCGGCCGCCTCTGCGACCATCCTCCCACCCCCGGCCTCGTTCCCTTTGCGCAAGTCTATCTGCAGCTTTGCGTGAAATAAGGGAGGCGGGAAAGAGGAGGAGGGGAGAGTGAGAGAGAATGAGAGAGAAATGAGAGAGAGCAAAAGAGTAAAGCGTGGGAATGTGACGAATGAAAAAGGCCTCTTATACCGAGATTCCTTTTTTTCTCCCTCTTCGCGCGGTACAGAGCGCTGCTCCATATTGCTGGTGCACACACACCAGCAATTGGAAATCCTACATGTCGTAAAATGGGCCAGAGTGATCGGTGTCGCCAGTAGACGCTGCATCTGTCATGATCGGTCTTGCGTTGCAATCGGAAGTTATCCCACTAATCAGAGCCGTCCTCACGACCATGGTTGGTCACAAAGCATCTTTTGCGGAATGGATTTCATCAATAGTCTTTTATGTGTCTCTAAATAGTGTATAAGTGCGTACTACGAGCATGCTATCTGCGCTATGCAGCTGGCCCGTCTTGTTATTCAAGAGTGAAACTGCCTCCGTCAACCCTGTCTTATGCGACCTCGCAAACCGCCGGCCCCTCTTGGTTCCCGCTCCCGGTGACACTCGCCGCATCGCCTGACCCTCTGCCGCCCCCGCTCAGACTCGAGCAGACCATTATCCACAGTCCGACTCAAGCTGGTCGATGCGCTGTTGGAACGCCCGTCAGACGTCCGAGGCCGTGCCCCAAGGAAAACGCCAACAAACTCCACAAGGAAAATTCCTTGATTCTTTCAGAAAAAGCCTCCACCCTCGCACGTCCTCACGGAAAGGGAGGAATGTGGTAACAAAAAAAATTGAGATAGCCGACATGGTGTTGGGGACAGGATAAAAACAAAGTGAAAAAAAAGAAAACTCCCCACACCACTCTTCCATGATACGCCAGTAGTAGTGTCATACCGGGACTCGCCCGAGTTTAAATGGTTAACCATCACATCGTCGACTTCAGCATCGACCAGCGTATTAGTGCTGAAGGTTTCGTTAAAAAAAAGTAAGAATTGGAAGCACCGCCACCCTTCCAATTCTCTGATCATCCGTTTTTTCGGTCTCCCACAGGGAGACATGTAGTCGTCTAGACAAGAAGTGAAAAACACCCAGTAATGTCGGCTCATGGTTGGTATACAGATGGTGTGTCGGTAGTTAAAAGATGTGCAGGCTGATTGCATTGCTATCAGCAAATGAAGAGGCGGTTTGAAACAGAGCATCGTAATGTGTCGAAACATGTTCTCCAGCTGTCGTCCCCTTACTCCACCTTCCGTCGCTTGCCTCTGGGGGCGGGGTCCATCTTTGGAGTGTAAGTGACGGTTCTCGTCACCACCTCACGGATGTGCCGTACACTTACCCGTGAGGACTTTTGCTTCTTCACTTCCCCTAGGCGAGCCTTGAGAGCGGCGTCCCAATCAAACACAGAATGGATAGATCGGGCGCTGAACGGGGAGCCAATGAGTCTTGAACTCAAGGGTGAGTCAAGATTGGAGATGGCAGGGCTAGGTGGCACCTTTAAGCTAGGAAAGCAATTTGCCCCGGTAGGAGGCGCGGACATGGGCAGCGGCGCCGTGAATGGAGTTGGAGGGACCGCCGTTGCTGACGCTGGCGATGAGGGTTTGCTGCTGGCAGCGCTGGAAACTGGGGATGGACGCTCATCTGTCGAAGACGTCTCCGACTTATCGCTCACGGCAGATGTCGGCGCAGAATCGGGAGAGATCTCGCCTGGTGCAAGAGCCGGCGAGTTGAGCGATAGAGCCTTGGAGAGGAAATCCGTATAAGCCAATGGCGGGCTAATAGGCGTCTTGATGTAGCTGGGATCAGGCTTATAGGCGAAAGTCAGAGCGGACTTGGGAGTGATCGTGCTTGCTGAGTGTATATCGGAGGGAAACGTGCTCGTCACTGGAGTGGAGAGCTTGCCCAGCTTAGGCCTGGCTGTGGCTGCGGGCATGATGGCGGTGATTGTTGAAAATGGCTGGCGGTTTGTAAACAAGATGATGTGCGATGCGCAAGTGTAAACTATGCGTGCGAGAGTCTGCGTGCGTGCTTGTGTGTGAGTGTGATTTCAGTTGTGGTTGTATTCCCCGGTAGCAGCGGTGCGTGGGTGGCAGTCGGTGATAGCCAGAGGCGTGCAATGTTGAAAGAGATGTGAG